TGTCTTTTCAGTCCCATTTCCTCAACTAAATGGAGACCTTGGAGGTCCCCAAATACCCTCAGTTGCAGCAGCTGCTGCTCAGGCACAGGCTCTGGCAGTGGCGGCTGTACATCAAAAGTTTGATGCACTTGGACAATCTCAAAATTCTTCTCCCCAAGTTCCACCCATGACATCACCACCGCTACAAGGCACTTTGTCGCCTCATCTTCAAATGGCAGGTCAAGTCTCTGCCACACAACAGGCACAAACATCACAGCAGTCCACAGGGCCACTTCCAAAACAACAAGTAAAAAGTCAGATGTCTCCATCGGGGCAAATGATGACTCCTCCCCAGTCACAAGGAAAAACTCCACCTCGTGAAAGTGGGAAAAATATGGTAGTTACAACTCAGGCTCAGTCACCTGTATCTCAAGGAGGTGCTGGGAATTCTAGTGGACATAGTTCTACAACAGACAATGGATTATGTGCTCCTAATGCTCAGTCTCAGATGGTTAAAATAAAGACAGAGCCTACATCTCCACCTTCTGCAAATTCACAGTCAGGAAAGGTAGTTTATCTCTTATTCCTGCTAAACAGCCTGTCAAGAAATCTTGGGACTGCAGAGTAATCCTTATTTGATTTGATGTTTTCCTATTTGAAGTTCAAGTTCAGTTTTGTCATATGATCATCAAAGTGTAATCTTTCAATGTGTGGGTTAGATAGAAGACAATAACACAAACTGAAGCACAACATATACAGACAAGGCAGCCAGATCAGAATTTTTTTTTTTCAATTTCCTTGCACACCAATGCTTCTATCCTATATAGGTATAGTTCTTTTGGTTATCTTTTGTTGAGGTACTGAACTGATCAACATGCCTTATCAAGTATCTTAAAACAATTTTGACAAAAATGACATTGTTCTACTGTAATTTCAGCATCAAGATAGCACCTCAAGTTCTGCAAGTTCAACTTCTGTGGCCCAAAAAGGTTCATCTACACCTCAAATAAAGCAAGAGCCTCATCAAGGAGGGACGTCATGTTCAACTCAGTCCATACCAACTCCTGGATCCTCCTCATTATCCACGTCATCCTCATCAATACCTGCTCCTGGAACAACAAGATACCCCCTTAAGAAAGGTAAAAATGTCATGTCACTTGCCTTGAGCATGCTAGCTTATGTTTGTAAATTTTTACAACAACTTAATTGAAGAATAAAAAATCTCTCAGTGGGTTACCACAGAGAAGAATTTAACTCCTATATCAAGGTGTACCGGCCAAAATTTTTTAATATAAAAAAGTAAACATAATGGAGTCTCTCTTCTATTGAATTGGTTTGAATATTAGGGGGTTGATAATGAATTAAATAGGGCATGATGTATTTGATCCAAAAAGACAGTTTACCAGGAGTTAACTGACTCCCACAGAATCCTTTTTTTCTGTCACAGTCAATTAATGAAATAATGAGATTGTTCCATTTGTTCATCTATCTAATCACAAGATGTTGAGTTGGTTAATTTAGAGATTTATATTTATCCTCATGTGCCTGTAAATGAAAAGGTTGTCCTTTGAGCATTGGAGTGTGGAAAAGGTCTGCTGGCTTATTGTTCTTTTCTGAATCGCTTCTCTTTCAGTTTTCCTCCCAGAGGAGTTACGGATTGCACTTATGCCTACTTTAGAGAAGTTATATAAACAAGAGCCAGATTCTCTTCCATTCAGACAGCCTGTGGACCCCAAGCTGTTGGGTTGTTTGGTTAGTTAACAACAATTTGTTTGTATTGTGTGGTTCCAGAAAATATCCATACCCTCCGTGGAAGGGATTTGCCATATGACCCCCCTACGCTCTGGATTTTCCAAAATTGGCCCCAAAATTAACCCCAAAATTAACCCCCCTCCCCTCTGGAATTTCCAAAAACTTTGCACAGCCCTGGAAATATTGCTATCTCTTATTGAAGAGAACAGATAAGTAGTTTTTTTCACTAGGAAGCCAAATTTTGTGAGTGTCATGTATTTTTAGTTGAATTCTACAACAGGTAAAGCAAATTCCTTATTTGAATTCGTGATGCGCTTGAGTCATGAACAAATTTTGAGTTTCATGTATTTTCAGCTTTTCTGTTGAATTCTACAACAGATCAGCAAATTCCTTGTGCACTCAAGTCACGAAGAAATTGTTGACAAAGTTCTTGGCCACAGGCAAATGAAATGCAAGATCGCATGGGAAATATAACTGTACTTTCTCTCACTGCATCAGGAAGAAAGCAAAGAGATCAGGACCTTGTCATGCGATCAGACAGTGCGAGTATCGAATTTCGTTGAACCAAATTTGCATATTTCAGTTAGCAGTAAAATTGCTTGTTGCTGATTTGATTGATAATAAAATTGTCACGCAAAGTTTGATGTGCTGGAAAAGACTCATTTAACTTCCTTGTGATAGAGAAACAGTCAAGTGCAGAAGAATGTAACCAATTAAAAGTTTTTTTCCATGTTTTGTGTTCTTGAAAGTTTTCGTTTTGCTGGCTAGAAAATAAACTACCAAAAGCATGTAAGCTAAAAGAAATACTATTTATTCCTGACCCTAAAGGTATTGATTTGATACAATTTGAACAACTGTTTAAAATCTGGCACTACCCAAACTTTAGAACTGTTTTGTGAACTGTTTTCTTGAAGCTTGGCCTAAAGACTTAAAAATGCATTGCGTGAGGCATCAGTCTGATCTTTTCACGTTAAATGGATTATTGTTCGTGCCTTTGCGAACTGATCACAAAGTTGTTCATGAACCATGGGGGCAAGTACATTTATTTAGTTTTAAACGGAGATTATTCCGAAAGTGTTCTTTTGCTGCTCTATCATCACCTCAAGATAAACGCCACTGCCGAAATGCATGAATGTGAACCTGGGGTAAAAGTGAATATCCCTTACAAATAAGAACTAGTGTGACTGAAAACTGAAAGATAAAAGATTTGCAAATAACTGCGGGGTTTACTGAACATAAAATTCATGTTTTTAAATGAGTTTCAAGTAGGTCTTAAATCACTCTTGCTTTGAAGGAAAAAAGAGGTTGACTGAACATAAAATTGATGTTTTTATACAAGTTTCAACCAGGTCATTAATCACTCGTATTTTATATCTTTGCAAATAAATTGTCATGGCAAGTTTTTGTGTTTTTTCTTTGTTACTCTCTTATGCGTCACAAGAACCCTCTGGAAATAATTCCCTATGGTCACCCCCCCTCCCCCCCAGAAAATTAGGCAAATTGACACCCTCCCCCCCTGGAAAATCCGATCCCTTCTGTGGGGGGGGGGGTGTGGATGTTTTCTGGAACCACACATTCTTGTTCTAGTTTCAGTTTTTGTAAAAGTCAGAGTGTAAATTTGGGGTTTCTTGACTTGTACTCTATGTGATGATAGCTTTCTAGGGTTATGGTTATCTTTGAATAAAGGTTTGAAAGAAATGGTTGTTAGAGTCGCAGAGCTTTAGTCTAATTGAATTTTGTTCGTATTTGCAGGATTACTTTGAAATAGTGAGAAATCCCATGGATCTCTCTACAATTAAACGAAAACTGGATGCTGGGCAGTACAATAACCCTTGGGAGGTTTGTATGGGTATAAATGACCCACTTGTCTTATCACAGAACCTCCATCTTGGAGGTGTGCCTGGGACTAGGGGCAGGTGCTCCCTGATGAGAGCCATACACTGAGTACCGTATTTATTCATCTATAAGCCGAGCGATTTTTTTCACAAAATTTTACGAAAATCTCGAAAATTTGAGCTAGAGAAGGGTTCTCGGTTATAGCTGAGTGTTTTTACAAACATAATTTTTTCTAAACAGGAAATTCAAAGGAAACGTGGATATATTCCTCTATAAGCTGAGATATTGCAGGCAGAAGTAAATAACAAACAAGTTGAAGTTGGTCATTGACTTTATTTATGTGGTTGCTTCAAAAGGAACAGTTTGTTGTTTTCGGCGTGTAGTTAAATACAGCTTACTGTTTGTCCTCAGTGTTGGTGTGGAATTCATCTTCCATCTCCTCATCTGTTAGTTCTGCCGCTTATTCCAAGTAGTTTGCTTTATCTTCCATGCCATGTAGAGTATGTAAGATTCTGCAGGTTTTGAATGAGTGTATAGATCTTGTGAAAGTGCTTTAAGAATTTCAAAACAGACCAATCAGAATTGCCCATTCCCATGATTGTTAAACAAACTCATCACATGTTACGGTGTTGAAATTTGCGATCATGTAAAATGAAAACTTACCTTGGCTTCTCTGCTCTGTAAACCAGGTAAGTAATCTCTCATCCAGCCGCAGATATTTCGGAGTGTGACGGCCCATCGTTGTGTGTTTCGCAGACATCTCGAGCTCTCCATTAAAGAGATTCTCTTGATCTTTCCTCAAGCGACTCACTGGTGACTTACTCTGTGGTTGTCTCGGAATTGTTTTCGACGGCAAAACTGCATTGAAACTCTTTTCTGTTTCAAAATTTTTGCATTCATTTCAGTTTATTCAAGAATGGAATTCTCTGAATATGGTCTCGGCTTATAGCCAAGTGTTTTCAATTGTTTCAATTGTTTTCAATTGTTTGTGTTTTCAAGTGTTTCAATTTACATGTTTTAAGAACCTTCTCGATTAAAACAGACCGAAGTTTAGGGTCTCGGCTTATAGATGAATAAATACGGTAGATGTTGGGTTGGCATCAATCCAAAACAACAAATTATTAAAATGAAATATTTTCTTATTATTCATGCTGTGAATCCACTGGGGTTATTATTTCAAGCAGCTAGATGATGTATGAGGAAAACATGATTAGCTTCGTAACATGTTGTGTGTCTTTTTTAATTCACACAAGTACTGTACATGGATTTAAGTGTTACAAATGGTCAGAAAGTGGAGTGCAGTAGGAGCATTTTATCTTGTGAGTGTGTAAAGTGATTGAAGCTGATAAGCTATTTCATTGATCAGTGTAATTACTTTGTTTTTTTTGCAGTACTGTGATGATGTCTGGTTGATGTTTGATAATGCTTGGTTGTATAATAGAAAAACTTCAAGAGTGTATAAATATTGTACAAAGGTACATTTACAAGCTTTTGTTTTCTTAAATTTACTTTTCAGTTTAAATAATCTCTCCAGAGATTTGGTGCACCTTTGGATCAGTAACTATTGTAATTTTGTTGTTTGGGTGTTTACTTACCTTGGAATATTTTCCTTTTCAGTTGGCAGAAGTTTTTGAACAGGAAATTGATCCAGTTATGAAAAAATTAGGATATTGTTGTGGAAGAAAGGTAATTACATTGAACAGTGCATCACAGATGCAGCAGGAAACTTGACTAAACTTGTTTCCCTAGATAACTTGTTATTCACTGGTCCTTCTCTATTGATCTGATTTTTTTACTATCCCTTTTCTAGTATATATTTCACCCACAAGTTCTGTGTTGTTATGGAAAGCATTTGTGTACAATTCCAAGGGATGCTACCTACTGGACATATCAAAATCGGTATGTTAACTTAGTTACAAATAAACTTCACTTTAAATGTGGGAATGAGAAAAGTGTTCCAGTCATTGTTTGAGTACCTTTTGGAGAATTTAAAAAAGATCTAAAGATATGGTCTTGAATTGAGAAATTCGTGTTCTTTTACCTTTCTTGAGAATAGTCTCCTTAGTGTAACTACCTTCAAATCAAGGTTATTGAATTCTAATTCTGATCAACCCTGATTTGTTAAGGGGCTTGTAGGGCTAAGATGTTATTATTGTGATTTTTTTTCTTTTTGCAGCTTTCATTACTGTGAACGATGCTTTGATGAGATTCCAGGTGAAGCTGTCAACCTTGGAGATGATCCCACACTGATGCAAAGGTATGATGCTCCTTGTTGTTTGCAAATTAACTTTACAACCAATGTTTTTATCTTGTTGCATAAGGTAGATATAAAACCTTGTCCACTTAACTTCCTACTTTTTCAAAGTGGTAATACAGGAGGTGTATCAGAAAGGGTCTCTATCTTTTACTCTGTTCAGGGTGAAAACAGTAAACATAATGTTAGCTGTATTACATCCTACAATTTCACATGACCCCTGTTTCCATGTTACAGCACGGTACCTAAAGGCAATTTCTCAAAAACCAAGAATGATCACCTGGACATGGAGCCGTAAGTACCCTGATTGTTCACTTTGGTATTTGTTTTATTTCTAGCTAACCTGTTTTTTTTTTTTTATATTTTATTTTTATTTATATTTTTTTTCACAAATGGCATAAAGTTTGATGCAAGTTTGTGTTCTCAGGTGAATCTTTTTTTATAGATTTGTTGATTGCATTGACTGTGGCAGAAAGGTTCATCAGATCTGTGTTCGCCACCATGAGTTTATTTGGCCAAATGGGTAAGCATGAGTGTGTTTGAATTCTGTAAGTTCTCATCATCCCTCCAATGTTTATGATGAATTAGGATGAAGGTTATGAGAGCTTAACCAAACAATGTTTGGTATGAGATACCATCAGTGTCTTACACATGTACATTTCCCATCTAATTGTAGTGAGAGCGTATTTTAATTTTTTTTTTTTCCAGGAAAATTCTTTTAGCCTGCTGGTAGTTCTTGGTAAGACCAGCACAATAGCCATGCCTCATTGAACAATCTGAACAGCAAAGGTTTTTTTCTTATAGTATGTCGACCATTCATTTTTCCAGATATCAATGTGATGCATGTTTGGTGAAGAGAGGTATGAAGAGGAAGGAAAACAGGTTCACTGCAAAAAGTAAGTTCATTGTAAAGTACATATATCTTATTAACCAAGTGCGAGGGCCATACTGGGAGAATATTGGCCCAAGGTCTTGACAGTACAGACCGAGCGCAGTGTGGTCCGTACAAAAAAGACAGAGGGCCGATATTCTTCCAGTACGGTCCCGAGCAAGCTTGGTTAATAAGAGATTTATTATACGACTGAAGTTCAAAGGGACACAAGTGCGGTATCATTCGGGACCACTTAGGACAGTGCCCGGTCCAATACTAAGAGAATTTTGACCAGCAATAGAGCATTTTCATTGGTTGATTTTAGTTATTGGCCCTCTGACTGCCCGAGTCATGTAATAATTTTGTGTATTTCATGTGAAGATTTTATCTTTTAGTTGGAGTCTCAGTTATCATTTAGCAAAACTAAAATCTTTTTTTTTTTTTTAACTTTTTTCTTAAGAACTTCCCCCAACTAGACTTGGCGATTTGATTGAAAAGAGAGTTAACAACTTCCTACTGAAAGAAAACTGTCCCGGAAATGTGACAATTCGAGTGGTGTCATCAGTTGACAAACATGTGGAAGTAAAGCCAGGAATGAGAGCAAGGTTTGTAATAGTGATTGTTTCCAGTTATGTACTTGTTTGCAGTATTTGTGATATTCTCGCAGATAAATCTTATTAGCAGGTTAGAGCTGGAGAGTTCTGAATCATGTATATCACAAGTACCATTACAAAGACATGATTTTTTTTTTTTGTAATCTCTAACTATTACCTTTGTATTGGTTTTAATAGATATGATGAAGGTTTTCCTGGGTCATTTCCATACCGTGCAAAAGCCATGTTTGCCTTTGAAGAGATTGATGGTGTGGATGTTTGTTTCTTTGGCATGCATGTGCAAGAGTATGGTTCTGAGTGTGCTTTGCCAAACACGCGGCGTGTGTACATCTCATACTTGGACAGTGTTCACTTCTTTCAGCCACGGCACTTGCGTACATCTGTCTACCATGAAATCCTCATTGGTTACCTGGAACATGTGGGACACCTAGGGTATTGTGCATTGTTATTTTAATAATGGTAGTTCATATTTTGCAGAAGTAAATAACTGGTTAGATTTTGAGTGAAATTGAGGGATGACCCATTTGTGTTTTCAAACTCTAAGAAAACTTCATCTGCGTCAATTAGAATGTTTTCATGTACAATAACAATCTGTTAAGACTACAACAAAATGAAGGAAAATCTCTGTGGCTTGCTGAGAAAGTATTAAGCAAATTGTTTGCAGGTAGATATTTGGACATTAATCTGAAGTGCCTTAACCGAGTTTTTTCTAACTTAACTACTTGTCAGTTCGACAAGCCTGTGAAAGATGAGATTTTTAAAGGTGATTTTCATTTTTTAGGTATCAGATTGCCCATATATGGGCATGCCCACCCAGTGAAGGTGATGACTACATATTCCACTGCCACCCTGTTGAACAGAAGATTCCCAAACACAAGCGACTTGTTGATTGGTACAGAAAGATGCTTGACAAAGCCATCAGAGACCGTGTTGTTATTGAGTACAAGGTAATAAAAATACTTAAATTCCAGTGACCTTTTGTTAGGACAACAGGCACGAAGCCGTTTGGTAAAATACCATTTAACTTTGCTGTTGAATTAGAGAATGGAAAGCATATTTCCAATTCTCTTGTGAACAGCTTCTTCACTACATAATGGATTCCCAAACACTCGCATTGATTTGATAATATACTCCCTGTAACAGGACATATTAAAGCAAGCCACAGATGATAACTTGACGACAGCAAAAGAGTTACCCTACTTTGATGGAGACTTTTGGCCAAACGCATTGGAAGACAGCATCAAAGAGCTTGATCAGGAGGAGGAAGAGAGAAAGACTGCGGCTGCAGCTGCTGCAGCTGACACTGCCGGCAGTGAGGTACTACCTTAGTTGAATCTTGTTAACATGCTGGCAGACGAAAGTCATATCACTGTTTGCCGAAAAGTAATATTGTTCAGTTGAAATTCCCAAACTACATTTATTCTCTAGTTTTGCGCGATAATTTGTTTGTTGAGGTTAAGGGAAATTTACGTTCCTCGTTTTAATTTAGGTAAGTAAGAGGGGTGATTTGCCGTTTGACAGCCGAACTAATCGATTCAAACTTTTTGCATTTAAAATACTTTTTTTAGGGAACACCAGGAAGCAAAAATAAAGGGAACAACAAGCGAAGTAACAACAAGAAAGGGACCAAGAGTAAAGCAAGTAACCGGAAGAAACCAAAGAAAACTAATGGTCCTGTCATGGGTTTGTGCGACTTGTCACAGAGATTGTACAACACCATGGAGAAGCACAGAGAGGTAAAGTAAACCGTCGCCAGTCTTCATTTATTTAATTTTTTATTTTTTATTTTAAGTCATATTGAGCATCCACCTCCTCCTTGTCAAACTTTGATCCGGATTCGTAGGGCCCCTTTTACCATTCACATTATTTCAATAATCCAGTCTCCAGGCGCCTTTAGTAAAAAACGTGATACTTTAAGTAGGTTGTAATAAGTTTAAAACGTTTCCTGTTCTCAGGTGTTTTTTGTCATCCGACTGAATGGTCGTAAGACTCCGGAAACGAGTGACCCTGACCAGGCGATGAACTGTGACATAATGGATGGCCGAGATGCCTTTTTGACGCTGGCCCGTGAGAAGCATTACGAATTTTCGTCATTGCGCCGCGCTATTTTCTCCACTATGGCAATGTTGGTCGAACTTCACAACCAGGGAGGAGATCGATTTGTTTACACGTGCAACATTTGTAAGAGGCCCGTGGAAACCAGATATCACTGCAATGAATGCGAGGTACACAAAAGTGACAATTTCCTAAGTGTTGCTCGCTAGTAGGAGCGGAATTAACGTTTTTACTTTGATCAAAGACGGATAAAAGTTTTCTTTCAGTTCATATGTGCTCTCGTGTACTTGATTTTAACGGTCGTCACTCTAAATTCCTTATACCATCGCTGTCACAGTCGATGTCGAACCATACAGTCCAAGCTAATTCAAACCATATTCCCACGCAAATGTAGTATCGCACCTTAGGAGTTACTGATATGATATTTCCTCATCCAGATCAGTAGAAAATGACCGTGCATTGGTCTGGTTTGAGAGAAGGTGGTCTTGGCTTGGAGAGAATGCTTTGTCTTAAGTGATTCCTCTCATCACTTTTTTATTGGTCGAAAAATCCCTAACAATGGTTATTTTATTCTTGTTTTGTAGGACTATGATCTGTGCGTACCTTGCTACACCGATAAAGGACATGAACATAAAATGGAGAAGCTGGGATTCGACTTGGATATAGATCAACAACAAGGACAAGGTGATGATAAGGAACGACCGCAACTCAGCGCGCAGGAAGAACGACGATTGAAGATTCAGCGCTGTATACAGCACTTGGTACATGCCACTCACTGCAGAGAGCTTAATTGTCAATTGACAAGTTGTGCTAAGATGAAGCGTGTTGTAGAGCACACGAAGACGTGCAAACGCAAAACTGGTGGAGGATGTCGCATTTGTCAAGAGCTCATTCATTTGTGTTGTTATCATGCAAAGCACTGCGTAGAGAGAGAGTGTGTGGTACCATTCTGCCGACACATTAAACTCAAGCTCAGACAACAACAAACACAGCAAAGATTTGCTCAATCCCAGACTCTTCGCAGAAGAATGGCTGCAATGCAGCGTCAGGGAATGCAGCCTCCACCTCCCATGCCAAGCCAGACAATGCAACAAAGCATCGCTGGCCCTGGAGCAATGGGACAGTCTCATCCAGCTTTGCAACCTCCTCAGCAGCAGCCCCCTCCTTACCAACCACCTGTCATGCCGCAGAAACCTGTCATTAGTGGCCCTCCTCCGCGTGCAGTTGAGGCAGCACAAAAAATTGCGCAAGCTGCTACAATGCAGGCTGTGGGTAACAGTGTGCAGATTGGTATACAAGGTCGCAATGTTCCACATCCTCAGCAGGTTTTCCAGCAGCAGCAGCAGCAGCAGCCTTCTAACATGGCACCACTTTCTGGATCAATGGCACCACCAGCTATTATGAGACCGCAGAACCCAGCTCTGATGCAGCAAAGTATGGGACAGAACCTTCAACAGGCTATGAACATGCCTCAGCCTATGCAACAATCAATGGGTCAGTCAATGCAACCTTCATCCAGCACGCCTGTCCAACCAAACGCCTTAGAATGGTATGCCAAACATCATCAACAACAGCAGCAACAACAACAGCAGCAGATGAACCACTCCAACGCCATGATGCCAGGAGGCCAACAACAGTATCCTCAAATGCCTGGAGGACAGCAAGGGATGGCCTCAGTTGGATCACAACAGAACCGACCCAACTTGGGTGTGCCTGCTTCTCTGCAACAGTTGTTGTGTACGCTGAGGGGTCCAACTACTCCCCAGCAGCAGGCTAAAGTGCTGAGCATCCTTAAACAACATCCACAGCTTATGGCGGCATTCTTAAAACAAAGGCAACAGCAGCATCAACAACAACAGCAGCAACAACAGCAGCAGCAGCAGCAGCAACAACAAGGCATACCTCCGGGAATGCAGCAAGGAATGCAACAAGGAATGCAACAAGGAATGCAACAAGGAATGCAGCAAGGAATGTCTCAAGGCTTGCAACAAACTATGCAACCTAACCTGCAACAAAATATGCCGCACAACTTACAGCCTGGCATTCAGCAACAAGCAATGCAACAAAATATAGCTCAAGGAATGGCAAGTATGCAGCAAAATTTGCAGCAAGGGGTGCAAAATCCAATGCCACAAGGAATACATCAAGCTATGCCAAATGCTGTACCACAGAATATGCAGCATGCCATGCAGAATTCCCTGCAAATGCCAGTTGCTTCCCAGCCTAGCGTTAGTCAACATCAGTTTTTTAGAATCATTCAACAACAACAACAGATGCAGCAGCAGCAGCAACAACAGCAGCAGCAGAACATGTTCCAACAACCCCAGCTTCCTCCTTTCTCGCAAATGAACGCAACGAGGAGAGGCCAAGTGCAAAATCAATTGACTAATTCACAAGCGGGTATGATGCACCCGCACAATGGTCAACCACAGGCGTCGTTATCGCAACACTTCCAGGCTAAACAGGCGCCATTTACAGCGCATTTAATGTCTCCACAGCAAGCGAACCCAATGTCACCGCAGCAAGGGATTCATCCGTCTCAGTCGCCGCGACCAGTCATGTCTCCGCAACCTCATCCGACAGGGGCATCACCACGGCAACAGCCCACCATGTCCCCACATCCGCAGCAGTCTACTCTGACGTCTCCGCGGCCTACGCCCTCGCCGCATCAGGCCGCCACACCCCAAATGGATAACCAACTTATGGACAAACCGCTGTTCACCACACGAATGACACTTGCCCCGCTTCAGACTTCCACGGATCCAGACCTGTCAATTGGTCAGGAAGATTCACCACTCACGCCACAAGATCAGTTGACCAAGTATGTCGAAAATTTATAATAAAAGAAGAAAACAAGCAAACCCATTGGGAAAAAAAGAGAAAAGAATTTTAAAGTAAGGAAAGAGAAGAGATGAAATGTACTTTATGGAGCAAACTTTATACGTAGTTTTATCGCAGTGAGAATCGAGATGATGAAATTTTCTACCATTCGTACCATTATTATATAATTAATTTGTATAGCTGTTTAGCTGATAAATATCGGCTTATGAGGGTTCGATCCCTTGACCAAAGTCCGAGAGAACGAGCACTCCAAGGAATTTTAGTTTTAGAGTTTTTTGAACGTCTTCAGTCAAGAGGCACTGTATAAAGCGCACATTCTTACAATGCATATATATTTGTTCAAACGTACTTGTGTACCAATAAATGTGTGCACTTTTCACAACGTTTGTGTGCTTACTAGCTTCTTATTATTTGTAAATAAAATTAAAGCCCTTATTTCGAAAACAAACGCAATTTGTTTTGTCTGCTGTATTTTTATCGAGCTCAGACTGCCTAGTCTATGGAGGTGGCGTGAACACGGGTCAAACGAAATATGCCCTTTTTTCCCGAAATTGCAACAAATACGTGGTCGGAATACTGTAGAGTTACGACGAAGTGAAAGCAACTACTGTGGATTGACCTCGACGTAGAAATTGATTTTGGCAAGCGTGTCTTGTGTGTAAACTTTTGAAACATTGTTGAAAACCACAATTTTCCTCGTACACACGACAACAGTGGCACGAACTTAGCCTTCCAGCGATCCCTACTATTTGAGCCAGTTTACCGTAACAATACCAATGGATTAAAGTAGGGTAAGGAACACTAGAACATGCAGTTCTATCTTTTTGTAGACTAGGTCAGACCTTCGCTGACTGGACTCCAGCAAGTTTAACCCTTGTATTTGAAGTCTGTCATACGACTTTTAATTTTTCTTAGTGAAGGGTAGGTTCAGGCTATTGCCTGTTTTCACTATCGATCATTCTAGAGAATACCGTACTCCCATGTAATAATAACAGTTTATTAAACTCTCTTGCAGTAACTTACTGAATTAACGAGTTATAATACAGTGAAAACTTATTAAGATCGACTATGTACATTTCTGTATACATCGAGTACAAGTATACACCACACCAGAACATGCATCACATTTGTTAACAAACTTAAAAGTGATAGTCTTCCGTGCGCTTGGTTCTACAGGTAGTAACGTTTGTGTAAGGTACAGCTGGTCTGATTTTTTGCGTGAGGGTTTAGGGACAGATATCATCTAAGCGTGTTGGTAGAAGAGGATTAGAGGGAGGTTTAAGTCCTTCATTTTGCACATATACTCTTTACATATCTTATCTCTTCTCTACGCAAGGGTCTCCAACCTTGCTAACTCGAGGACATCTGAGTAGCTATTAGCACGCGGGAAAATTATCTGAAGCGCCCTTTTCTGTATGGATTCAATTTTGTCAGACATATAACCCGGAATGGGTTGCCACACCGGCACGGCATACTCTAGAACAGAGCTTGTATAGACCTTTAACATGCTACCTTGGTCAACGCCAGCTCAAGTAGGATACGTAGGGAGTAGAGCTTCTTGCAAGCTTTTTTATATGTGTAATCAACATGACTATTCCACCTAAGTTCGCCATCGATGAATACTCCTAGAATCTTGTAAGTCGATACACGTTCTATAGTGTTATTACCAACAACTAATGGTCTGAGGGTAAAGCTAGGATATAAAATAAAGTTAACATCTCTTTACAGTTAACATGGGTTAGTCTATAGTATCTACAACTCTTCCTTTGGGGGAGGAGGCTGTGGAGTCTATGGGTGGGGTTACGGACTATCTCGTCAAACAGATTGGTTGAATTTTTTTCCGTCCTCTCGTGAAGTTTCGGTAGGCCAGCTGTTTCTAGTGCTACACTATATGACAGGTCAGGATAGATGATTCTGAGTGCTCTTCTTTGGATCCGTTCCAAATCTTCGCTGATGTAGTTTGGTAGAGAACGGTGGAATACAGGACTTGCGTATTCCAAGACGGGCCTAATACATGTCACATAGAATTGCACAAGTTCGCTTGGTAAAACTCCGGATCTCTTGAGTTGTCTCAAAAAGTAGAGACGAGAGGAACATTTTCTACTTAGTTCAGAGGTGTGCATGTTCCACTTTAAATCGTGGCTAATGGTCACGCCTAGCAATTTGGCACTGGTGACTAATTCAAGGGGTTTGCCATTTAGGACTAGGGGTTCAAAATCGTAGTTGCTGTTAGAGAATCCAATTCGTAGTTCTTTGCACTTGGCCTCATTTAGTTGGAATCCATCGATACTCGCTTTTCTTGAAGGGTCATCCACAGCTTCTTGGAGTTTGCTCTCACTGCCCTTAGTAGCTATTTCGGAACAAGATGTGTCGTCCACGTATTTCCACAAGTCAGTATCCGCGAAATTCGCCTGCACTGAAATAACAATTTGGCGTGTTGGATAATAAATGACTTATTAGATGTTTTGTTCTGCCATATTTTGACGAGCCCGTAGGGCGAGTCAAAATAACGAGTAAAAACTCAGTGATACTACTCAACAAAACGGCTAATAAGGTACATTTCTAATCCGACAGATATTTTTGGTCACGCGCGACTAGTCAAAACGCATTGCCCTAATTAAACAGGAGAATATCTTAGTGATATTCCGCAATTTTCAAACCTTGCGGAAAACTCTTCGCTTTGAATTTAATAAACGTTGTGGGATTGTTACAGAGGAAGGGATATGGGTTTTGTTTTTGTTTTTGTTATTTATTTCATGGGTCGTATCAGAGGGCAGTGCACTGAAGAGTGAGCACCCCACGCCGTAAACGGTAAGCTGTTCGTATACTTTTTTCCCGCGCTTTGAAAAATATTTGAAAGATAATAAATACAATAGCCTGCATCTGGGGCGAAAGTATACTCATACATACATACATACATACATAATGTCATATGTTTACATATGTCATATGTTACATATGTCATATGTTTACATATGTCATATGTTTACAGATGTTAATGTCATATGTTTGTCCTTGGACATTATCCGTTCCTCGAAGCTCACAGTTCTCCTCGAACTTTGCTCTCGGAAAACTGATTGCATCTCGGAACAGAGAATGTCTGCGGATAAATACCCGTACATATTTTCGCGCCAAATGGAGGCTATTAATTAAATATCTCCAGTCTCCACGCTCAGAAGTCCTACAGCGCTCAATGAGAACCGAGCTCAGAAAGAGGAAAACTGAACCGGAGTTGACTATTCGTTCCCCATAAGTCACATAGTTACTCAGAAATCGCGTGGTAGACCTCTTCCACTTCTCTCTGTGATTGCACTGGTTTTTGTTCGTTAATCATGTTCCGTTTACCTGGAGTTGATGGATCACCTGATAGGGCTGCTGTGGAGGCAGAAAAGAGGAAAGCTAAACAAAATGTTGCGTTCACAATGAAAGTCTTTGTAACTTATGTGGCGTTTCTACGATTAGGTGAGATCTCTACTGTGAGCTCTTGGATCAAAGATAAACCGTTGTCTTGTTCGTGTAGAGAACTAGTCGTGTTATACTTTTTCTGGGGAGTATTCCACTGCTTTGAATGAGGAGAAATCTGTCCCTCTATTACAGTAATGCGTTCACTCCAATTGATTGAGAGTTTCACTAAATCGAAATCCCATAAAGAGTAGAACGTTTATACAAGCTACTCGGCAGCTTTTACACTCGTATAATCATTACTGAAAATTGATTAACAGGGAGGAAGATGTTCATATAAACAAGAGGTGATGTGAACCAAGTTTGAAATTGATTCCACTTTTCAACTGTCGTTAAGTCTTTTTGACATTTGAATCATGCCAGATTGACCTGGTTAAAAAAATATGTTGCCACTGACATATTAAGGACAGGAGTTGTCCTATTCTGGTCTAAAAAATTTCTGTCAAGGTATTTCTTTTACCTCTAGATTGTTTCCTTATTTGGGTATGGCTAGTCTGTCAGTCTGTCATCCCTTTTGGTCTGATATTACAGTACAGCCCCATACCTCACTATTCATACAGAAAAATGGCGAAAACAATAGATCGCCTTTGGTACTGCAGCATATTTTTGCAGTTTTTGTTCCATGCCCTAACAAAGATTTTTTGGAGGGCCATAGCATCATCAGTTTCATTATCGTCTAGTGCAACCCTCTCTTCATTAAAATATTACTGTATTATATTGTGTCGAGGATGAAAGAAATACACTGCATGGGAAGGAGAGGTTTGGCTCTCTTAAACTTCCATTATCCAAGTAACCTTTTTTGTTTCTTTATAGCTCCTTATGCATACAAAGCCCTTGCTGGATAGTTATGGTGACTTCAGGAAACCCTGTGGGACCTGGATCCTTTCTGTTTCTTTATTGTGGATGTGGTTTTCTTAAGGACAAACTTCTTTATGTTTGGTACTCTGGTTTGCTTGTGCATCATTTATTTGCCAGTATCTGATTCTGCTTCAATGGTGAAATCTTGAAGACACTGCAGAGTTGAAGTATGGTTCAGACCAGTATATGTTCCAAATGACTGCAAAGTATGGTTCAACAGAACACAAACACATGAACTTCATACATCATAGATGAAATGTGAAAACTGTTTTCCTGTTTTGTGTCTTGGGGAAAAGCTAATTTTTGTTTTAGGGATTCAGATTTTTTTTTTTTAGCAATGTCACTTCATACATTATAAGTCAGGCAGAAAACATTTGAGCAGATCAGAGTTTGTGTCTGTGGAGCTGGGTGGTCTGACAGACAAATGCTAAAATTAAAGATCAGATCACTTTTTGATAAATACTTGTTGACTCTTATGTTGTTTATGATTTACTTAACAGATTTCAAAGATTTTGTCTAGCTATGATTGCTTTTACAAACACACACACAAGTATTTCAGAAGAATCTTAATCCACCATAGCACACATACTAAAGAATAGTAAACTACAATACGTGCCTTGCAGATACATTTTTTTATTCTACTGAATTTTTTTAAAAGTAGCAGACTAAAAGCTATAGAAAAGGTTATCATTAGAATTGAATATTTTGCAAGTAAAGAACACTTTATCTTAGCAATAAACTTGGACTGAATGTTACAATACTGTAATGATGAATCTGATTTTTCCAAATCTTACAAACGGCATAATTACATCAATAAAAAGAGGGTAACTTTTTAACATTTGTTTCAATGTGTTACTTTTTGTGTTGTTATAGTTTCTCTTAATTGATGCTAAATGCACTCTCTACTCTCAGAGTATTTTTGAAAGGTTGTTAAGTTATTGGTTGTACAAGAAATCTATTTAGCATTTTAAAATATTGAACTACCAACCACATTACTTTCTATTGAAATGGTGAGTGCTTCATGTACAGTCTCAGAAAATATTCTGACCTCTTTCAATATTACTGAAATATTTGGATGAAGGAATAAATAGAAGTGATAAAAATTAGGTGACTGGACTGGAGTGAAAAAAGTGTCCACAATTGATCACACTGTAAGTGGTTTTATTTTCATGATAGTCTCTATTTTTGTTCTTTGAAAGATGCTAGAAAATTTGATGGTTGCAAAATATGAAGGCATGTGTGACAACCTTTAAACACTTCTGCTTTAACCTCATTTCCTCAAGTAGTAAAATATATAACAACAACTGCAATCTTCTTGTATCAAAGTTATTTTATGCTTAACAAACTCTTAAACTTAAAACCAACTCTTAAACCAACTCTTAAACTCTTAAAACCAAGTATTGCAAAATTTGTTTCTTTCCTGAAGAATGAGACAAGATCTTAAAGTCAGAGAAGTCACAAATGATGGTTACTACTCTTGTACATATGTGGCTCCTCTAGATGATCATAGTTAAAAGTACAATGCTTTTTTTTAAATTTTGTTACTAAAACTTTGTCAGCCTCTTGTCTCTGATCTGGGTACCACTAAGGAGAAGGTACAGTATTTACTGTAAGCTGGCTGGAAACTGTCTGGGGCAATCGTTGATAGATGCATTAGTTTATTTCTTATCAATCAGGTGCGTGAGTGGAGGAAAGCAACACGAGCCTCATCATCTTCGTCTCTAAAATGAAATTATTGGAGAGTTAGTGCAGATTTAATTGACTTTCTTACCAGCTAATTCATGTATATATATTTTTTTAATCTTGTGTTTGCTGAATTTTCATTTTAATAAGCAATATTTCCATTGGAGTTGGATGGTTACAAAACCAGATGCCATCAGGAAGGCGATTTAGTTATGACAAAACTAGCCAAAGGGTGCTGCACGAAGTAAAGTTAAGGTTTCTTTATAATACCTGATACTAATGAAACTTCACTAGCAGGAGCAAAATCATTTTTCAAATTTATATGTTCTCAACGATGATACAAAACTTACTCTTTGTAGAAAGTCATTTTGACTTTCTTTCCAAGGAAATCTCTACTTGCCTTTCTAAAGCAGCAGTACACTGCTCCTATAAACACAACTGTGAGGATTCCAGCTACTGCTAACACAACAGAAATCCAGTGTTTCTCCACTTGATCTAAAAACATAAAAATAGTGAAAGTATTTTTAAATTTTAGGCTCCAATTCCCTTTGTATGTTATTCCTAATTGTATTTTAATGTCAATACCTGTGTTGTGTGGGATGTGTTGGCCCTAATGGCTGGTGCACAGAACCCCTCAATTAAAAGATACAGTTTAGAGATCTGGTTCGGTTGTGTTGTAGTGTTGTTTGGTGGGACACTTTACCAGTACTTCCCAGGTGCCACCTAAGAGTTTAAATTGAGACCAATGGACTGTCAGGGAAACCTGAGGAAAAATTCCAGGGAAGTAACCCCAGGGAGGTGACCCCAGGGAGGTGACCCCAGGGAGATGACCCCAGGGAGGTGACTCCTGGGAGGTGACTCCTGGGAAGTGATCCCTGGGAGGTGCATCATGATGCAGCATCCAGTATAGCCTACAACAGTTTAGGGCATTTGACTCAAGTGCGGACTTAGGTTAGTTAATCATTTCAGTGAATCGTGCATCTCTAAAGGTGATGTTCACAGTATGAGATCATCATGCCAATTTCCATCTTAAATATTAATGCTGTTTTTCAAAATTTTCTTTACAATTTCTCTCTGTGAACTTTTCTCCTGCACAGTTATGTCTTCATTTCCAACATTACAAAAGAGCACAACATGTTCAGTACCTTTCCAAAATGAATTGCCCTTGTCTCTGTTCTTGCTTTTTTTGATGATAATGACCTCCTCAACCTCCAGAGTGTCATCAATGCTACTGATGTTTGAAAGGTTTGTTAGATAAACGTCTGAATTTCCATACGCCCCAAACATCCACAATGGCTCCCCCTGAGAGGAAATGAATACCTCTGTTAGTTTTCAACATACACTGTTCCCTTGGACTCAAAGGACCTCCACCTAACTCCACTCACTATTCCAACATGTGTTGAGGAAATTCTTTGGCATCAGGCTTCAAGTGGAATAATCTAGCTGCTACAATGGTGGAGGTTACTCTCCTTTTGCCAGTCCTCAGGGAGATGAGAGGTAGTGATGATAACAGGGAAGGATACAATGCAAGTTCATTGGCTCGAGGCCTCACCGCAGACACACTCGGAATAACCCCTTTCTTGGGGCCTTTTGTGTAATAACACTTCTAAGAAAATTTTAGACAACTAACTTACAGTGATCGGCACATCTTGAGGATCGCCAGTTTCCAGTTTCCTGAAGATTTTGAGAACCAATGCTCTTGATTTGTTTGTAGTTGTGTGATCTAGTGTCACTTGATAATCCAGAATAGAATTTTCATCCTTTTCTAATTCGCCAAGTTTGTTCATTGTATTTGAGTCCTGTAAAATCAAATTATGTGGTTAGAGTCAGGATCAGGTAACACAGGACAAAATGTTAATAACCCTAACCCATATGGCCTTATTGATGGCGATGAGGATAAGGGGGGATTTTTCTGTGAACTTTAAGAGTTTGATGGAGGGCTACAGCTCCCTCTGTGGTATTCAGTCGTCCAGTCTGGGGATCAGCATTGCTCAATTTTCCCTTCACATTTGACTACGATAATCATTCTACTCAGATCTTTTTATGACGGCAAACAGAGCAAACTAAAGACACAAAGTGCCAACTGGATCAATGTTTCTCTGAATTATATTATGTGAGCCCCCTGTTGAGTCGTTAGACATACTGAAACTGTCTATTTTTGCGTCTGCTTGAGTCATTTAAAACAACAGAATGTGCTGGTTAAATTTAAATTGCAAAAATGTTATTATTACGCTAAATTACTCTTATCCCCCCAGAAAAACCAAAAGCTTGTGCTTTTGAAAGAGTGGGGTATAGATAAGTTAACGGCTTCCCAATAGGATCCAGTAGGCGTTATATTAGAAAGTCATTTAGAGCAAGCACGTATCATACCACTGTGGTTCTGTTCTTTGATGCAGAGTTCGGCCAAGTGATCACAAAATCTCCGCGAGAATCTTCTATATTTCTCGGCTTATCTTTGGCCGCAGTTTGATTTTTCGGCACATTCATAAATCCTAGCAAAACCCAACCTTTATCGTCGACTATAACGCTGACTTTGAACTCAACGCTGGATTCCTTTTCATTAATGCGCCATTCAACGACATAATTGTCGCTTAAGTTGACTTTGTTGACGATGGCGTCGATGTTTCCTCCTCGGTTTTCATGTGATGCGTCAACAACAAATAAGAGGCAAAGGAACTTTACAATCAGGATCATTGTTTTGATCGAGTATTCCGTAGTTGTGTACATTACTAGGCTTCAACTGGGTTTCTTTCTACACCGGCGACAGTGAAGATTTTCGACTCAAGGGCAAAAAATATTGATGCGCTGTAATAAATTTGAATCACTTGAGTGAATGCTGTACTCGGTGCAGTGATGATCAGTTGCTGCACACTTGAAAGGTTCCTTTCTGCTGGTTCAGCTGAATTAAAACTGCGTCGTGATTTTCTCCTTTGTCGAGGATATCCGTGCTAAACGGGTTTTTTTTTAGTCCATTCCACGCGGTTTCCTAGAGCTCAATTTTTCAGCCAGGCATGAAGAATTTCAACAAGGGAATGAGTGTTTTCCACGTAACCCTTTGCGATGCAAATCAGTCAGCTTGCTTAATTTGAATACAAATATTATTCATACTTTTCACATCAAAAGAAAACAATGCAAGGTTTATTGTTCGATGTTTTGGCTTTCCCTGCCACAGATTTTCCTCATGTAAACAAGAAAAAACTTCTCAATTTCAGAGCAACAGTTTCAAACGGTAATCGCTTATAGAATGCACGTGGTACCATGTGCTTTGCCGAGTCTTCGATCAGTAACGCAATGCTTAAGCGGTATCATTTCATACCGTCGCCTCCACTAGCTATGTAACTCAACTCTTGGCTACAATTCATTTTTTTTCATTCCAGACTCAGCAGAACTCACCCGTGCGTGAAAGGAATCATCACATTTAGATTATTGCAATGCTCTTCCGCAATATCAATATGGTCGACTTAAAAAAGTTCTGAATGCGGCGGCCTGGGTTACATGCTTAGTTCCTAAGTGTACTCATATTACTCCGGTACTTAGGGAACTTTACTGGTTGCCGGTGAAATTTAGAGTAGAATTTAAGATTGCGCTTTTAGTTTTTAAAACGTTGAATGACCTGGCACCACAATATTTATCTGAACTACTTATTGTAAAGCTAGATACAGCCTGCGGTCTGATTCTGAAACATTGCTGCCTAGGGTGACACGGAAGACTTTTGGCGATCGAGCCTTTTTCCATGCTGGACCAACAGTATGGAATGCCTTGCCATCTAGTCTTAAAAAAGGTAGGAACATTGACTCTTTTAAAGTACAGTTGAAGACTTATCCTTTTAAGAAAGCTTTTAATTTGTAATTTTATATTCTTATTACTAGTATTATTTATGCCATCTAGCCTTAGATAATATATGAACTTTGACTTTTTTAAAGTACAGTTGAAGACTTATCTTTCTTCTTGAGAACGCTTTTAATATTGTACAGCGCTTAAGAATATTTTAATAGTTAAAGCGCTATATTGAATGTAATAAATTATTATTATTATTATAATTGAATGAATAAATGAATGAGTTTGCAGTGTTGCGTTACAACAGTGCGGAGGAGACAAATGGAAAGGCTGTTGAATGAATGAAAATATACAAACAAATAATAGTCACTTAGGTACACTGAACAGGACCACAATTGATATTTTTCCCTCTATGATTGGTTTCCTTTCTACAGCCTTTCACAACCAAAATGCTCAAATATCGTGAAATTGCCATGCGAGCTTATCATTTCGGTGGGAGGGTTTACAAGGGGGAAGGGATGGGGTTGAGGGAAAAAGAAAATGACGTTTCAGTATAGTAGCTTCCTATCGGGAATTACTTTTCCTCTATGCAGAAAAAAAATAAGGCAGCTATGATTTCTAATTTATTTAGAGACTATGCTTCCTACAACTCAACACGATCCTTAGATCACATTTTCGTGCTCGTTTATAGGAATGGCAGGAACACCACCAGCCAGCTGCTAAGTAACTTATGATTGGATGGATTCAGCAGGTGTCTTGGACGGAGGTTTGCATTCATTACTTTCACAGAATTGTGCAGGCTTGATTTTAATTTTTCTGCGTGAAAAAGAAAAAAAATATAAGAGGGCTGTACAACTGTTCGTACCGACTTGTTTTCAGCTGCCATAATTTTGACTTCCCTTTAGTAAACAGTAAGATTCCTGATACAGAAAGTGGCCACTCGAACTGAGGCAAGTTTAACGGTTGCAATTTAATCCGGGTGCCCTTCAGCTACAAGGATCCGTCGAAATGCATTCGAAGAGCCGTGTTAAGGTAATTTCCAATTTTGTTCTTGTTAGTGAAATTCCACCATTTCATGTTGACAGTGAGAGGGGAATGTTGCAGCTATGAACGAATTGGCTGAGCACTCTTTAAAGGATTGCAGGCAATATTAGAGCTGTAGGGTTTATTAAAGTGGTCTCCAAGGCCAGAACCAAGTGATATTTTTATTTTACAGGAAAATAAGGGAATCGTCCATAAGTGATCGTAAGCACTCATTGCCTTGACACTTTAACTAATGAACGAATTTGATTGGCTCTGCTTCATTGTCGTTGGAGTATACGGTGTAAAAGTGGTCGAATTGCAAAAGAAAAATTTCAAGCGACAACAAGCCCATACCGAACTCCACTGTGCACCTATTTACGCCAAATATAAACGCATGATCTGATTGTCTAGAGAGGCCGTCACCACATAGTAGTTTACAATCAGCCGATATAGACCTTGAGTTTGCCGCTGGTCTGTTGGTTCTGCGTCTTTTGACAGTTTTGAAAAAAAAATTAATGATTATGATGATAAAGAGCCAATACGGTTCGGGCTTTGATCGAGGATCATACTCTCTCTGCAATGTTTAGTTAATAAAAAGTAGTAGCCTAAAGTACAAAAATATCTTTTATGGAAAGGTCGAGAAAAATCTTCCTTTAGGATTTTTGAACGTCAAATGCCTTACTTCATGTTGGACGCTGGTGAATTGAGGCTCTACACAAAATAACAAAAATCTATCTGAAATTCTTCATCAGATTCATTCATGTTCTTTGTAATTTTGGAGAAAATCAGATGCTTGATAAAATTAATTGAATTATATTTATCTCGCAATGATGAACTTTGATTGGCCGACTAAGCAACAACAAATTTTCATTACCAGACCCCCCCACTATATGGAAATCGCGCGAAGATGTCTGTGAAGAGAAACGAAGAATAATGGCAAAATACGACTGTTTTCTCGGTTTATCGGTGACCAATTATCAAGGGAACATAGCTTAGGAGTTCTTATTTTGCCTTAAAAGGAATCTATGCGATATGGAAGGCGAGGAGGAGAAAAACGACGTAGTATACTCCAGTGGCGATGAAGGTGGCGCTACAGTTATGTCGGAACGAGTTTCCAATCTCGCCAACAGTATTTACAGCGAGTTCGAACGAATGATTCAAAAATATGATCAAGACGTTGTATCAGGACTTATGCCACTTATGGTGTCTGTGTTAGAACAACTGGACAGTGCCTATGGTGACAACAACGAGCAGTTAGTTGAATTGGAAATATTGAGTGATGATAATGAACAGCTTATTACACAATATGAAAGGGAAAAGCAACTCAGAAAGCTTGCTGAAAATGTAAGTGTAATATGTTATCTCTTTTCACTTATTTCATGAAGTATATTCAAATTAATTCTCTAATATTTTACTTGCGAAAGTTTCGATTAGGGGAAGCTATGTGTCGTTTTTTGTCCATGAATTTTAATGTGTATCAGCCCCTCGTATGAGATTTAGGAAGAGTAGTAGTTTTCTCTTTTGACACTAGCACAACTAATAGCATTCTACCATTGGAATTGGAAAAATGCGTTCAGGAAAAATTTATGTATATTTTTCCATTGATGTTTACAACCGAAAATAATTTCTTCTTGTTATACCATTTTTTTGTTGTTCCATTTTTGACAGTACATTTAAGGAAGGCGTTGTCTTTTCGAAAATAACAACTTTGCTTTGCTGTTAAAGATTTCAGCATTTTTTTACCTCTCCATGTTATTAATACCATGTAAATGAAATATCATTCCACAGTCGCTTACTCTATATAATGCTAAAATTTGTTTTAAATTTGAAAAGTGCTAGCATTAATTAATGTGGCTGTTTCTTCAGACCATTTGGGGTTATGTTAAATGTTTTTTCAAACGGATACATGCCTGATCATCAATGCTTCGTGGGCTTAAGAGAAAAAGTTGTTAAGCACCAAATATTTTAAGATACAGACAGCTTTGTCATGTTTGACTGAAGATTAATCAAGGATAATGTGGAGAGTGAATGTTGGACTTAATAAGGTAGTGTAAACATTTAATGAAATTATTGTGTTGTCAAACTGTGTGTATACCTTTAAGCCTTCACAGCAAACTGTAAGCGATACCATACAATTATCTCAGCATTATAAATAAAAGCTGGTGGTTTCTCTGCCAACTGTCTGGTCAGATTTTGCTTGTTACTAGTGATTGAAAAACTGTAATGTTGTTAGTGCTACCTTGGATGTACTAATATCATGTCATGCTTGACCTGGTTTGATTTCAGTTGGTGCAATATTTTGCCTTAATTTACAATTCATCCAAAATAAACAGACCAGAACATGCAATTCTGTGAATTTTGATTAACAAGGTCCTGCATGGAATAAAGTTTTTGGTGAAGGAGTGTTAAATAATTGTCAACATCAGAGAAATGTGTGGTAGAATCAGGTAACATGTCATAACTTTTATTGCAGAGATATCTGGAGATAGAGGATCATATTGAAGCTGAAAAGAGAGAATCTCACAAGCAGATTGATACATTAGAACATGATAATAAAAGTCTGGAATCTCGAATCAAAAGTTACCAAGACCATAGTGAGTGATACAAATTTTTCGATATGTTTTGTTTTTATCACTTTAATATCACTGGAGTTAAAACAATGACTTAAAAAAGGTCTCACTCATGCTGACAAATTTTTTTATTTTCAGTTGAACGGCAGGATGAAAGGATATCAGAGATGAAACGTGAATATCATGCTCTTCATGAAAGACATTCAGAGGTGAGTGGCAAATTGTGTTGTTTGGGTGAAACTTTGACCAAGGGAAACAACAGGCCATCATGCAAATACATTAAGCCTTGGCTTGAAAATAATCAAAAAGAGGAAGGATCAAGGCAGTTTATGATAAAGGTTTTTAAACAGGTCCAAATAGAATGTTGTGCTTACTGTGAACCAAACCCAACTTCATTTCAAATTTAGTTGTAGTTGCAACATTGTAATTACTTACGTATGTGCACGATCCTCGCAGTAGAGAGCGCTATTTATGCAATAGCAAAAATCAGACCTGAAAAAAATCAGGCCTGTACGGGATTCGAACCACTGACCTCTGCAATACTAGTGCAGCGCTCTACCAATTGAGCTAACAAGCCAACTGGGAGCAGGCCGTTAAGTTGATTCGTAATAAACCCGTGATTGTAAATACTAAATGTTTCTCATAATTCAGAAATAACATATTTGTTTCTTGTAAATGACTTTTTAACCCTTTAGTAGTCTTCTTTAGTAGTATTCTATAGCTGTGTTTGTGAACTTGGCTGATCTAGTTACCACTACCTAAACTTCACACTTGCTTGACAAACATGAATGGTGTGCAAGAAGCATTTGACTTTGGTATTAGTTTAAAATGAAAATTGAAGTCAGTCCTAAACCTAAAACTTATTTCTTCCTACAAATTTCTTTTACTGGTAGTTACTCCATCAACATATGGAGCGGCTGCAGAGAGAGGACAGAAAAGGCTCAGCTTCCACAGCAGACACACCAACCAGAATGCCTTTTAGGTAACAATCACTACTCACAATGAACTTGGAAATTGATCAGCTCCTTTGTTCTATGTTTGTTTTTGTGGGAAGTTTATTTTCAGTGTAGGAATTTTGCCTTTGTATTTGTCAGTCTGTTCACTTTTGGTTAGGAATGTAATGGAGTTTCTGTATATTGAGAGTAGAAAAATTAATACTTGAGGAAGTTAAGCAATGTAGTGAGAGATTGTATGATTGCTATTGGATATACCTCCCCCTAATGGGTTTTTTTTTTGTGGATCTTCCTAGGTGAGGTATTTACATTTTCAGGTGGTTCACATTGAGTACTTTCTAGATTTCATACTCCTTTTCTCTTCCCACAGACCAAGAACTGTCTCAACAGATTCTCCGCGGTCTCCTGTTGGAACACCTACCACCTCTCTTACAGAATTGCTACCTGGCACCTCTCCAGGAGGGCCCAAGAGCATTGATGGTGACATGGTTGTGCCTCCATCGCCTCACAGAGGAGACAGCAATGAAATGTCACTTGAAGAGGAGCAACTTGCTGGCAAAGGGAAAGGTTTGTAGTTCTTTGTTTCTTTTTTTCCTTGATTTTGTTTGTGATTGGTCAGGAATTAATTGCTGACTCAGGATAGGTGAGTATTTACTTGTAAATGTACATGTACTACCTTATTTAAGACTAATTCTTAATAGTTCACACTTGTTTTGTTTCTACCTTGCAGGTAGTGAGACTGAGAAAAAAAAAAGTGTTTTGGAAGGTTCTCCTGCTGTCCAAAATATTCGCAGATCTCGTGGTGGTGGTGTTGTTGCCATGAGTGGTGACAGGCTGGATAATAACAGCATTGGAGACATTGTGAAAGGCACACCATCAAACATAGCCAGTTCATTACAGAGTTTAGATACAGAAACCTGTCACCTCTCAGATGTTGACAACATGCCTATTATGACGGTGACTGATGTTGAAAGAGTAATGTCTGGAGAATCTCAAACTCCTCCAGATGGAAGCTTTGTTCACCTGAGTAATGACGCTGCAGCCATCATGGCCTCGACACCTGAATTGATACCCAACGCTGGGTCTTCGCCTGTCGAGGTGATCAGAAGAGAGGGCAGGAGACAGGGTGGAGAGCGCCCCATATCTTTGGATCTAGAGACACTACCTCAAGGTGTCAGCGCACATTCGTTGTTTGCTGAGTTGTCTATTCAAGAGCCTGACATCATTGGGCAGGTAGACACAGGTGCAGACATCACTGCAATGGTTGGAGAATTGGACACAGTTTTAAAAGAGAATAAAGAACTACTGACTGCAAAGTAAGCTTGTAGTAGTGATGATGTGATATTGGTCAGCACAATACATAATATCTTAGTTTCACTTACTGGTGCTTTTGCAATTTAATTGCAGGACAAAACTTGTTACTCAAAAGAATGATCTTCTAAAGAGAGTTGAGGAGTTGTCCAAGTAAGTCTCTTATTGATCAATCTGTTTGCAGTTCTTTATATCCTCTTGGAACATGGAATAGCTATCAAGTTCTAACTGAATTCTCCTTGTTTGTTTTTTCTGCTGTTTTAGTGAAAAGGAATTGGCAAGAGAGGAAGTTATAACACTTCAGGATACCAAGAGTCGCTTATCACAGCACATCTCAGAGATTGAACAGGAGCTAAAAAGGTCTAAACCATTTGCTTGTTTTTAAATTTAACTTATTATGGACAGTTTAATCTTACACTGTAAGAATGCCCAAAAAAAGAAAAAAAAAGAAAGAAAGAAAAGAAAATTGAACTTGGCCAACCTTCAACCCTGACACTAGGCTGATTGCAATAGCTTATGTTATTTTGAAACTGTCAATCCTAGCACGTAAAATCCTAACCACTTTTTTCAGACTTTCAAAGTTATTGTCCTAATCCTCATGTGGGGATTACTTGCAACAATTTCACCTCAAATAGACTGACTTATGGAGTATTTATATGCCTGATCCTTAGAACAATTAAATTTATTGATATTGCCTCTGTGTTACTCTGCCTATACTTGATTTGTTGCTTCTTGTTCTGTCACAAATTTTACAGGAGGGATTTGTTTTGTGCTGTTCAGAAAATGTAAAGAAAAATCTTCTGCTCATTTACAGGGTGAAAATGGATGCAGAAAAAGCTACCGTGGCTTTAAAGGAGGTAAACAACAGACAAAAAGTCACTCATAACTTAAGGAGATGTTTAAATGAATTTCTTTTTCTATAGCACTTTTTCCTTCATTGACAAGAATTGCAAACCAATTCACTTGATGTCTTGAGACATATCATTGAATTCTTCTTGCATTTTGTCCTGAAAGAAAGTTTCTCTTTTTTTGTTCTGGAAATCGAGGAAGCGATAAAAAGTAGGTTGCTATTTCATAGGCTAATGTTTCAGCTGCTCATCGGAAGAGGTTTACGCGAGTTGAGATGGCTCGAGTGTTGATGGAAAGAAACCAGTACAAAGAAAGACTCATGGAATTGCAAGAGGCTGTAAGATGGACAGAAATGATCAGGTAATTTCAGGCTCATGTTCACTTAGTCTGGAATAACTCATTGATTGGAGTGAGTAAGTGTACAAGTAGAGAACAGCATGACATCAGATACCATAAAGTTGGTTTATCTTTTATTAGCATGGATCCTATGGATTGTTAGTTTGTTGAGTCCTCGTTTTTGTAGTGCCAATGCTTTGTATTTCATTTCCACACTGACATAACAAAATATATTTATAAATCTTCAAATTTTTCTCTTGAAATAATGATGATGAGTTTCATATTGTAGTCCCCTTCACAGTTGAGAATATTGATGATCTAAGAAAACCAACCCACCCATTAGGGAAATAGAACTCAAACTTTAGGTGCCTAAAACCATTACAAGATATGGAACTGTTTTGGTTCTATTTTTTCTTTTTTTAACCTGCCTCAATTAAATTTTCCTTTTATTCTTCATAGGGCATCAAAGGAGAGAAACCTTGAACTGCAGCAAAAGAAGAAATCATCCATTTGGAAATTGTATGTGGCTTATTTGTTGTTAATTGTTAAAAGTTTTAAGACTCAGGATTCTGAAATTTTTCAAACTTGTGCTGTCACAGAGCATCTCATTTTCTGAAACATATCAAAAATGTATTAAAAGTAACTCCAATGTAACACAAAGTATTGAATCAGTTTCAGTAATCTTTTTGGACCCTCGCCAAAGAAGCCTGCCCCACCCATGGTCAGTATCAGGTATAACTCCCCTCAGGGGGAGGGAGAGTCATCTCCTTCATCTAGACGTAGCAGCTCTGTAAACTCAGGATCTACAGGTTCAATTGCTGTAGCAAGTGGTGGAGGATTTGGTAGTGAAAAGTGAGGAAATTTTATCATTAACGTCCAGTTTCAGTTTATGTCACAAATGTATTTTGGTAGCTTTGACTGAAGAATAAAAATAATTAAGGTTAGGTTTATAGAGTGTATTCTGAGTTCTGGCCTTCCCTCAGGAAACTTCTGGTGTTGAAACTGCAAGAAAGGCTCTTATGTAGTGAAACCCTCTCAAAGGCTGAAATTAGATGCCTTAGAATTCTGGTCCCAAACTGATTTTTTTGTCATACTTACGCAGTTTTCATCTTTTAGCTTTGATCGCCAGCGACTTGTGGAGAGAAGGGAACGCTACAGACAAGTGAGAGCATTTCTTAACTCAGGTGATATTATAAATCCTCCATATTTTTTGTGCTTCTCCACTATATCTAGTTAATTTGTGAACAGATGGTATTTTCCATGCATTTTAAATCCTGGATGTCAACCAAGGCGTTCGTTTGTTTTCAGATGTTGCAGAGGGTCGCATGCAAGCTTATGGCTGGAGTCTTCCTGCCAAATACTCAACAGAAGTTGCAGAAGGAGGAAAAAGCCTGGTGTCTGTCCCTGTACCAGTCTATTGTCGGCCTCTTAATCTTAATGACCCTGGGATGAAAGTATGTTTGTCCTTAAGATCAGTTGATAATATTAAATCAGTAAATGTTCTTTTCATCTTCAAACAAAGAAACTAGTGGTATGCTTTTGCATGTAAACTTATGTTCATTATAGTTAAAGGACAAGTACTAATGCAGTTGCCATCGTGATGCAGATCTGGTGTGCAGCTGGTGTAGATTTGTCTGGTGGGAAGACACAAGATGGTGGCTCAGTCATTGGTGCAACTAGTGTATTTTACACAGACAGTGTGCGTGACCAAGATGAAACAGGAATGGACCCAAAGTTGGAGCCAAAAGTGTCTATGGTTTGGATTGGCAGCAGCACACACTCCTGCAGTAAGGTTACTGTAGTTGATGCTAATTACCCTCAGAACATCTTGGATTGCTTTATAGTATGTACATCACATCTGTTGTGCATCACTCCTGTGCCTGGTGCATCAGAAGGGGATTATCAGAGTTCAGATTGGACAGTTGAAGGTGAATATTATGTGTATCTTTGCAAACTTATTTATCAAAATAGAATAGAATTATCCAACTGTGCTTTGTAGAGTACAAATGACGCGCGAGACGAGTACAAATATCACGCGATATTTGTGCTCCAGAAATATCCGCGAAATTCGCCCGCACTGAATTAACAATTTGGCATGTTAGATAGTAAATCTCTTATTAGACGTTTTAAACACAACGAATATATGAAATACATACATATCTGAACTGCGGTTATGAAAAGTATATGTGCAAGATCCTCGCACTAAAGCAGTGAAAATCAGACCTGAAAAACTTCAGGCCTGTACGGGATTCGAACCATTGACCTCTGCGATATAGTGCAGCGCTCTACC